ATACTTTTGGTATGCACTCCTTCACACATCAAATGTACATACCTAGGGTATGTTGCAGTAAAAATATCTTTAAGCACACTATTTCTCAAGGTGGCGATATTATGGACCCTGCCCCTGGTGATATTATGGGACACGGATTTTAGAATTCTGAAGTCCAAACACATCAGGAACATATTCTAACCGTAAAATATGCCTTCATAACTCAATCCAACATTGTAAATATTCAAGAACTTTGTATAGCTCAGAAAGATTCAATGACCTTCTACGTTTGTACCTTGGAAATTCTTCCCAAGGATCCAGCAAGTCTTAGACATGCTGGAGGTTCTGGAGATGAAATGGAGCCAAGAAGGTCAGGGCACGACCTTGGGCGACTCTTTTTCCACTTCAGGGTACCAGAAATGTTGTTTTCTCACCTGTCAATCAAAGGGTTAAAGGTCAATCATTGCCATATATGGGCATGTGGAACTGTATGCTTACTTTCCATGGCCGGGGCGGTTGTGGGGTGCTTTGCAGCTGAGAGAAAATTCGCAGACGGCTGAAACTACATCAAATCTACACAAAAAAATATTGTCAATGATGTAAAAGGAATGTTCCCCTGAAAGACGGTTTGATAAATGCTAAATTTAATAATTTTGTAAAAAATGATGATGAAAGGGAAAAGATCATGAAACAAACTGAAGCCTCCCATCTGCTTGGAGATTCTGCTGGGTGGAAGAGTCCGCTTTGCCTGCTTCTGTCTGGTGATTGGTCAGCACAGCTGTGTGGCGAGTGGTCAGCACAGCTGTTTGGGCGAGCGGTTGCCTGGTTACGCTCCTCTGTAGGACTGCTGGGTCCCTTGTCGCTGGCTTACCCAGGATCATCTGGCAATTTGCATATTCATAACATTCCTGTGGTGCAATATGAAAATTTGCTGCCAATTACCATAATTATGGTGCTAATTACCATATTTATGGTGCTAATTACCATATTTATGGTGCTAATCACCATATTTGCACAGCTAATTAGCATATTGTGCCCTTGCAGACTTGAGAAAGTCCTGGATGACCTTGAGGACATTAAGGAGAGTGTTCAGGCTAAGGAGGAGTTGGAGGCGTCTTTCTACGCTCCTCCTGCCGCTGACGTGACCTTCACATCTCACAGGACTTCAAGGTCAGGGTCAAGTTGTTTGGGCTTCTCAAAGTCAATCTCTTGGTTTTTTTAATCCTTATATATTGACAGGAGATTCCAACAACAACTGTTGCACTAAAAGAACATCATGAAAATATTCTAAATAGATACTAGTATGTCTGTAACCTGTTCCATACAGTTTCAGATAAATAGATATGTCTGTAAGCTGTTCCATACAGTTTCAGGTAGTGAATATGCATGGACAGACTTGTTTTGCTCCCAGCCTAGGACCAGTTTTTGTCCTGACAATTTCACATAAAAAGATCAGAGACCCAAGAAAATAATAATTGACAATGTGTAGACTAACTATCATTCACATGGAAGTTCTTGCCCTGGAGTTACATGTATGTTGTTTGCTTGTTTTGTTGTTTATTTGTTTGTTTTGTTTTAGACCCAGCTCTGCGACTGCCAGCACCAGCGGCGTGGCCGTTGACCTTCAGCACCGCATGTCTAACCTTGAGGGCCAGCTGGGTTCCATTAAGGACCTGCTGGAACACCTGCAGCCCAGACAGGCACCCGGGGGCTCCGCAGGGGACAGCCGTGGGGCCACGCAGGCACCTGGGGGCTCCGCGGGGGACAGACCTGCTGTTGCCAGGCGACCAAAGTCGCTGGTGCCTCCAGAGTACAGCGACTTCCCAGGTCAGTTTGTCCTGAAGCCAAAACTACAATAAGATTTCTTTCATGATTTCTTTAAGTGTCATGAAAGTTCATCTGTGTTGGTAGGAATCAAAGTAAAACGTTGAACTTTATTCCAACACAGGGTTACACAGTGTCAGTGTCAGTAACAGTAACTCTTGCCAGATTGGTCTTTTTTTTTTTTTAAACTCTTTCTTTTTATTGATATTTTCACATATATATTGGACAGAAAGTATGACATGTATACAAAATAAGGAAACACATGTGTAAACCACAAAAGTAAAACACAAAATTAGGAGACAATGGTGTATGATCATTAAAAGAAAATAATATAAGTGATGAGGAACCCTAGAAATCACAAACTATTAAAGAAACTAAGTTGAAAGGACACTATAAAGTTTACCCCATTTCCCAATATGTTTCTGAATCTTATCTTGTCTTTTTGCAATTATGTATTCCAATTTTTGAAAGTAAGAAATGTAAGAAATGAAACCTTGTAAGTCTAACCTTTTCTGGCGATATTTAAATATGTAATGTTAAAATACCTAAAAGAATAATGAGATTAGACAGGGCTGGGCATCGATCGCTCAAGTCACCAAATATAACATTAAAAGCATTCAAATGTAAATGATTATTGGTATGTTTGACATTAGCCAGTCATTCACCTCAGACCAGAAATTAACTACACGACAATTCCAAAACAAATGAATGACTGACTCTTCCTCTTCATTACAGAGATAACACATAGGGGAGTCTACTAATTTCCATGTATATAGTGTTCTATTTGATGTCAAAAATTTAAAGAGTATCTTATATTGAAACATTCTGGTATGGGTGTCTATAGAAAGTTTATAAATTAAGCTGTAAACCTGTTTCCAGGGGATGGGTGTGTTAAAATATTCCTCCCAGGAGTGTTGTGTTTTATAAGACAGTTCCCTTAGCTTGGACTCTTCCATGAAAAAAGTATACAAATATTTATTAATATTTTTTTCCAAAGCCAAGTTCTATCTCTACAAATCGGCACACACACCTGTATAGCATTAGATTACTGTCTAAGGGCCGCTTTCCAATGTAATGGGATCGCAGAAACTAATTGATTATACTGGAATTCCGGGCAGACATCCCCACACATTGTTATAAAAGTCTCGTAAGAAAAAAATCTGTTTTCTGAATCCAAGATGTCATTAAGAAAACAAACTCCCCCATTGTCAAATGCTATCGAAAAGAAAGGTTTATCACCGATACGTATATTTGAGTTTAAACAAAGTAATTGTTGCTTGATTTCGTCCACTTCCTCAGGTGGTCTGAGTTGAAAGCGTAGCCAAGCTTGGATAATTTGTCTAAAAAAAGAACTTATTGCTGCTTTCTTTCCCATAAAAACAATCAAAATCATTGACAGCAAGTTGTACAAAGGGGAATAAGGGTAGATTGGTCATTAATTATGATGGACCTCATGAAGGGACAGTGTTCGCTGAAAATTTGATCTCTGTGTAACCTTGTGTTGGAATAAAGTTCAACGTTTTACTAAGACAGTTTCTTCACTACCTGAAATTTTAATTACTTTAAGTGTCGTCCTACAATTCTTAAAGACGTTCCTGTTAGTTGAAGGTTTCTTAAGAACCTGCTGTTGACCTTGCAGGCGTTAGTGAAGGTCGGAAACACGTGTGCGTCGTTTATCACGACCCTGCTTTAACGTCCTGTCAGAGGTGTGACGTGTTCTTGTGTGCATGTCAAGCAGAGTTTCTGCTTATTTCTTATGTGTTCTAGGCATTTTTATTGGATGAGTCTTTCTTTTTTCTACCTGTATCCTTTTTTTAGCTGAACCATACTGCCTATCCTGATTAAATCACTTTTGCCGGCCGCCCAACATCCAGCCGGCCCGGCCCCCGCCAGTAAAGCTGCGGACGGCAGAGTTTGCGTTATACAGACAACTGCCCTGCCAATTTGATACTGTGTTGAGAACTTGATCCTGTTCTGTAGCTTGCACCAAAAGATGATAATTTATACTCAGGCTGCATGGAGATTATGCCTGCCTGAAGTGGCTGTTAGTTCAAGTCAGGGTCTGAAGGATTTCTTTTTTCATTTCTTTTACGTTTTGACCAGATTTGGGTATTTGAAATCAGTTTTTAGACTTGAAGTTAAGAATAGAAGTTTAACTGAAAAAAAAAAACAATTCTGACTTTCATCATATGTTTGTTTGCTAGTGATTATTTCACTTTTTAAAAATTATTTCTTTGTTATCCTCATGATAATCATTATTTATGTCTAACTTTCCTTTTTTTCCTTTTCCAGACGCTGATGACATCATGTGAGGAGGCAAAAACACAGGAATAAGAATATCACACAGGAAAGGACTGAAAAAAATTGTACGAGAACATAGCAGATATTTTATGTACGATTTTAGCAAAACTGAATTTCTTTTGACTGCTCTTTTCCAAATTATTGCTTTTATGTATATATGTATGTATCATTAAATCATGATATCAGGATGTAACCTGCATTATAATGTATCAAACCACGAACTGATGCATGGCCCAAACTCCTCATAGATCTTTGATGACATTTTTTGCCCTGTGGTGGCGTAGTTACTTCCGCATTCTCTGCATTTCGTTGCGGTGTGATGCATTGCACGAGAAATACCCCAAATCGTACACAATCCTATACAGGGTGCAGGACAAGGGTTATTGATTCTTTCATATCTTAGTGAGACAACAACTTAACTGTGATGCTGTATCTGTATCAGTATATTCAGTATAACCGCCTTTCGGCGTAACACCAGCTTTGCAGGCACGCGGCGCGGCGGCAGCTAGCTATATCTCACCGAACGACTTGTTACACTCAATAGTTGTGATGCAAGACAACTACATTGTAAGAAGCTGTGTCTTCTGCTCTGCTGCTTTTATCAAGTCAAAAATAGAGATAGTTTTAATTAGATGTTTTTACTATGCTAGAGAACTTGTGGAGACAGTACAAGGTGTCACCATGAAATGGATGAACTGAACTGAACTATTTTAACCACCAGCAAAGATGTGTAAATTTCCTGCTAGTATAACGAGGAAGAAATATAATATAATATTACGTTCTGTATATTGTGCAAAAGTATTTGTAACAAATTGAGTGCCTAGCAATGTATCAAAAGTAGTTTATATTATGTAGGAATATGAAATTCAATGTTTTTAAGACGACCGACACAGATCAGCTTTTATGCTATATTTTATGGTCTTTCATGTACATATATATTATGTGTGTGCCTATGCAAAAGCTTATTTGTATTTTAGAACTACGTAAATGGCTTCAGTTGTTGCTTTTCTACAGATGCTTAAAAAATCTGCAAGAAAGTCCAAAGAAGCGCCTTTATTTATAGACTCTGAGGATAACTTTTAAGATGCAATATAGAATACTTAGAAACTATAACTTTAAGTTACAATCCTGGTACAAGGTTGAGAAATAAAGGGGGAAGAGAGGAGTTGTGTGTTGTGCCTATGTGAGTTAGAGACAGCAGTCTTTATTTATTTATTTATTTATCTTAACAACATATGGGTAGTCTCACCCTCAACAGGGAAGGGGGGCTACGGGTCGATCTTTCCGGCACTTGGGATTTGGCACTCCCAGCCCCGAGGACAGACAACACTTAAGCTCCTGTCCTGTATAACAGGAGCTTTGAGACTAATTTGCATCATCTTGTCTTGACTTGTCTGACTTTTGTTCTTTTTTCGACTTCCAAAAATTTGTCTTCACTTTATTTGCATATCAATCAATAGGTTGTGCTTATAAACCTGCTTTCCCCTCTGGTCTCTCAGTCACTGACGAAAGCTAGTGGATACTAGCTGAAACGTCTGACGTTTTCAAAATCATATCCAGTTGCTTGAGTAACAGTTTTTTGGCATATGGGTAGTCTCTTCAGCCCCGAGGGGCTGATTTCCAAGAGTCTACATGTACTTCTGATGATGGCGTCTGGATACTGGTAATATCTGGCACCACGCTGACTTCAGAATTCTGCGCAACATCTCCAAGACTGACCCACAAATGTGCTACGACTGACCCACAAATTTGCTAAGACTGACTGACGAATGCGCTTTGCTGTTCAGCATAACCCATTACTGTTCTAACCGACCGTGTCATGGTTCGTGTGCACTGACACGTCCCGGCGCTAGGGGTCGCTGTTTGCCGCTGACCAGGCACAAACAAAGGCGTGTCCTAATTACCTTTGGCACAGTGGTAACATGATACCCTGGCCACGCGCACCCAACCTAGCTCCAAGCAGATGTCTGGCGTGTCTTTTGTGATGTTCTTCAAATCGCTCTAGTTGTTGGTGAGCTCACCTCAAAGCCACCCTGAAGAGACGAACTCCATTTTTTTAACGCCAGGAAAGACGCGACACAGACAGAGGTAGGCGTTACACACATACACAGGAACAAAAAACATCGTAATTATCTGGGCATTTGAGAGTCTTGAAAACTATTGAATGCAAGGAATATTTCAACACAATTCAACCATATAGAGGGAGAGATTGGTATGTAAATAGATACTAAAGTAGATAGACATCTAGATACAATGTGTGTGTGTGAGTGAGTGAGTATGTGTTTGTGTGTATCCAGTTTTCCCGACAGGTAGAACCCCCTCCATCTGCTTGGTTCTGTCCGTGAGCGGGTTGACTGACCGCTGCCCGTTCGGAGGGTGTGGCGGAATCAGGTAACCCGATACGGGCAGTATTTTGCCACTTTGCGGTGGCAACATGCACGGTTGGCGGGGCCGGACCGGGGTAGGGCAGCGGCACCCGGGGTCGGGTTACCGGGGATGTAGGTTACCCTAGCCTCTACCAGGCTTCGGGAGGCGGCTGGAAAGAGAAGAAATCGGCCAAATAGAGAGAGATGACGTGCCAAGGGAATTGGTCTGCCGGGTGCGGCAAACTGCTCAACTTCTCTCCAGCAGACCAACTCCCCTGGCATGTTATCTCTCTATTTGGCCGATTTCTACTCTTTCCAGCCGCCTCCCGAAGCCTGGTAGAGGTTTAAATATAGCATTACCGGCATGTACGCCGTACCAGACACTCCTGTCACCTGCCTGGACAGAACCATCTTCTCAGCATGGGGGGGGGGCAATCATCTTTATCTTAACCGGAATAAAACTACTTGCTGTACATCACAGGATGTAAGCCGCGCCCGTCGCCATGTGGCTACTGGGGCCATCCTGCAGGTCCGAGCGTCGTGTCAGGAAACTGGGAAGATGATGGTTAAGAAAAACGTATTTTCTGTACCCCCCTGCAGGTGTTGAAGTGGACTGTGCCGTGATGTAATCCCTCCGCCAGGTTCGCCCGTCCTTCCATAGAACCCGGACCGTCCTACAGAAACGTCACATCGACCTTACGTCGGGCTGACGTCGCTGATTTCGGCTCCTCCCTTCCCGCCCCGCGACTTTAGAACTCCTGAGGCTGACCTGAGGATGAGGTCCGCTGTGCTGTTCAGGCTCATCATCGCCACAGGTAAGCGCGCCACTAACCATATCCAGAACCCTGCCTATCTAGCTACAGGTGGGCCTGCATGCCCTTTTCGTAAGGCGTAATCAGGCCTTTAAAATCTTCGTAATCCGGAGGCAGTCACTCAAAATCAACGTAATTCATAACCCGTACATTAGCAGCAACACGTATTTGGTCGTTTTCATTCTACGTAAAGCGTAGGCAGTTACCTTTCTGTAACGTAAAACGTAATCCATAAAGTACTCCATGATATAACGTAAGTCTGAGAATTTAATGTAATTCATGATCGGCGGTGAAAATTTGACGCATATACGCGACATACGCACGCAGAAGCGACAAAAGCTCTGCAGAAGCTGCAGATCGCCTCTTACATAAAACCTGCACCATCCTGAAGAGGTCACGTCGACCCCTCAAAGTCAAACTGTCGGGACATGTACCTCGATCAGCGCCTGACTAGCCTTTACTAGGCACCGCGGATCGCTGGACACGGGTCGCGTATTGGATCCTCTCTGGCCGGATAACTCCCCTGGTACACTATCCTTTAATTCGGCCAATTGAGTATCCAGAACCTTGCATGAGCATGGTTCTGAATAAGGCACAGTCCAGGCTATACCAATGGCCAAATTTTGAAGCGGAGAGGGTTGCTGCTCCCGTCAGTCCTGAGAAAAAGAGAGCAGCCAGAAATTCTCGTCAGAAAAGGGACTGAAACTGCACCGTAAGACCTGCCATAGTGGAAGCAGTGTCCACCGGCTAATCTCCAAGCAGATCCCAGGGTGGTAAAAGACAGTACCAAATTGGCTAGGCAGTATCCATTGCAATTTG